CGTACAACCGATTTCGAGCAGTCGGGTTTTTTCGTATCGTTATTAGAGCGAATCGCGAATTCCGCGAGAATATTTTGTTCGCGTTTGTATCGCTGCACGTTAGCGTTTTGAAAGTTCAACATAAATGAATAAGAAATGTATGGTTTTTATTCATTTATTACAACCGTATAACACTCATAAAAATGATAAATCCTAGAGACCTCCAAAAATTATTCAATTGCGCGGAAATCGCTGAGAAGTGTAAGTAAGACGGTCTGAAACAAGGGCGCCAGTCTTGTGGAAAAACTAAATTCCGAAATTTAAAAAAAAATGGCGGAATACACCGCTGGCACGTTGGTGTTTTCGACGACATTGGCCGAAGCGAGAAGAAGAACGCGCGTGTAACACGATCATCTCCGTGTCTCGTTCGACTGCAAATTCAAACACCGAGATAGAGAAAACCCCGCCGACGCGGACGAATGTTTTTTACCACAAAGTTCGAAAACGAATTCGCACGCGACGACATTAATATTGGAACTGTAAAACAACGCGAAATCGTATCTGCCGAACGAAAATTCGACATACTATCCGATTTCGGCCGTAACGTATGTATTTTTGCGCGCGGTAATATTCGGCGATTCTCCTATGTACGTGAAATCGGACTCTATTCGAGAATCGAATTTTTTCGCCATTTTTTTTTCTCTGTCTGTTTCGCGTGCGCTCGTGTGTAGGCGTAACAACAAAATATAACAACGAAGAGACTCGGTCGCCGTCGGGGAAGCGTGAAAATCGAAACGAACAGGAAAATCATCGCGCGTCCCATTGGCTACGGTTCATTCGGGTCGAGCGGGGGATTTTTCCCCGTCGCGCCGGATAGTGATGGAAAAAAAAAAACATAATAATAATCATGGGTAATGATAATAAGTAATGTCATTGCTGTACACGGCCACGAGACCTGGCGCGACAAAAAATCGTTATAAAAATGGCGGCGCCGACGAAACGGGACGGAACACTCGCACAGATGAGAAACGAAAAACGAAAAAAACAACAACAACAACGATGATGATAATAATAAATACAATACGCGAGTGTTTCGATGCGGTTTTTTATGCGCTCGACCTCTTTTTCCTAGTCGCGCGAACGACATAACGGATTTGAACTTTCGAACGTGTATAGAACGAAAAAAAACAAAAAACTACCACTTCCGTGTTGTTTCGTTACATATAAATGTATACACGACGAGCTACGTTTTATTTTTGTGTTCCGATAGCTCTTGCCGTTTCGTTTCTGTCGATTTTATTGGAACGTTCGAATTTTATACTGGATTTCGTTATCGGGATGTTTTTTGTTCGCTATACGGGTCTACGGGGCGTTGGGTACAGATAAATACTTGGGGGGGGGGATTTCTCTGTCGCTCTGCGGGTCTTAAAAATTATAACGATTAGTATTGAGATACGCAAATAAAATATATACGAATACTGCAGAGGTAAGGGGAACATAGAACATAGGAATATAGTTCAACCGGTTATAAATTCGGTTCGGTTCGGGTTCGTTAATTTCAACGAAAGTTCAGTTCGAAATTAAAAATCGGGGTTCGTACCATCTCTACTAATATAATACTCTGTTCAGAATCGATTCTCGTTAGTTATTGTTTACCGTTGCATTCGGTTATCAATAATATTACTCAACGCATCGACCTTTTTGTGATTATTGAATATCTACTATACAAATATAATACATACATATGCATTACTATAAGTACATATCGAAGCTTATCAGGTCACAGGAGGGGGCATACCCCCCTCAACCTCCTCCTCTGCGTTTGATCGCCACTGCTCAATTATACACTATATGTATGGATTATAAGCAAGTTTGTAAATCCTAAATTTGTAATGGGGATCACGGCGCGTAAAATACGGCAGGAGCACGCACGCGGCGATTAAATATTATAATTGAATAATTAAAATTCCGGATTGCTATTTTAATAATAATAATTAATTATTGTACACCGTATTTCGTTTAGTGTTACCCGGCGGCATTAAACGTTGAACGTTAAATTTAAACGATTCCCAGCCCCTATACGCTATCGAGCTTTTAGCGTGATGCGTTTTATGTAATAATAATCGCAAACGAAAACAATGTTATTAAGTACATTGATGCGAATACTTTTGAAGAAAATATCGATAAACGTCAAAAAGTCGACGGAGCGCGTTAAAAGTAACTTACTTTATTGCCCCTCGACAGCAATAATAATATAGGAACCCGACGAATTCACACCGAAACTTGAAAAAACATCGATCGTGATGTAACCTCTTTCGAATACATGCGAAAAATATCAACGACCTTCACTTCGCCTGGATTCGACGATAGATCGATACGATTTCAAACGTCCCCGTATCTTTTTTGAATTCTGAGTGGAGCGCAGAAAGCTTATGGTTTTACAAAGATGTTTGTTTATTTATTGTGAGCAACTTTTCTACAAAAAAATCTCACTCAGACTTTTAAGTACAGTACCTTTACTGAAACTGGAGAGGTAATTTAGAGGGACCACTTTTCGATTTTCTCAGCCGAGTTTTCCCAGCAAATGCGAAAAACCTAAGGGGGGGGGGCACGGGAAAATCTATAGGTACACAACATTAAACGAATATTATCAAAGAATATATGTATATATATAAAGCCTATAATTCAATTGTTTCGCTATATAATATTGACGTATTATGTGTTATCGTTGACAATTAAGCATCGCTGTCGACCGGACTCCGGCTCAGAATCGTTTTATACACGATTCGTGCGCGCCAACAAACCGGCACCCGTAAAAAAACAGCGCGGGCCCGCCGTCCCCGCAATATCCTAGGCGCCGTACACGGCCGTCGATCCGAACGCGATTCGTTTCCGGTCCCGGCCGGCCATCCGCGTCGTTAACGGCCGCGCCGGAATTGTCGCCGTTGAACGTCGTTACGGCAATGCGACCGTTGTACAGTCCCGTCCGTCTCCGCGGCGTACAATCGCGACGCGTAACAACAACAACAACATTACGGAAAACGGACGCGAAAAAAAAAAAAAAATCATCGTTGATAACGCGGGCGGTGCGGGGCGCATGCGCCCGGCGAAACCTATTCTCTCCACCCACGGCCGCCGGACGGCCCGCGCGGCGGCGGCGGCGGCGGCGGCGGTACTATAGGTGGCCGCGGCGCGTACGTACGTATCGCTCGCGCGGTGCGGCCATCGCGGGCCGTCGAGAAAGCTGCCGCCGACGCACGCCATGATGATTTTTGGCGGCGACCGCGTGACTCGACGGTTTAACACGCTCGCGTCGTAATAACAACAACAACGCCAATAATAATGGGTATTATTATTATATCGTATGCGTTATTATCATGATCGTGGTTTTTTTTTTTTTTCTTTTGCTTTCTGTCTACAATATTTTTATTATCAATAATATTGTTGCGCGCGTACACACAATAACCCCTACGCGAGTACACGATCTCGGCGTGTACACACGGTGCACACAAGGCGCGTTATAGGCGGCGACCGGCAGCCACGTCGTATCGGTATTAAAAAACAACACTGTCGTAATATACCGTGTACAATGTTGCAAAAACGTACCGCGTGCGTATCACCTCGGCAATAAATATAATCGCACGACGACAACGGCGTCGCGAAAAATGTCCGCCAATATTATCACCGTACATTAAAAAAAAAAACAAAAAAACCGACGACGACCCGACCCGTTTTTGTCAAATACCGTAACGTGATATCATTACGTGCCGGGTTCCCGGTGTCCCCCCTACCGGCTATGCGTGGTCTCGCGTTTGTACTTTTTTTTTTTTTAATTTCGCAATTGTTCGTGATTTTTCGATATTACCGCGGCGGTCGTCGCCGTATACGTCCATAGGGGGTATCGACTGTTGTTGTTGTTGTTACAATACAAATATATCGCGTACAGATGCGCCATAGGATGGCGGCCGTGGAAGGCGGAAAATGGAAAATGGAAAAAAATTACTAAAAATTTCTCTCGTACTTATCACGAGGCCGCGACGAGACATGAGACATCAACCGAGTGTTCATACACGGTTAAATTACGGCGCGTTACCGACATTTCATCGAACCGTATACACCACGGTAACGTATAGGCGCAGTGTGGAAAAACTCGCACGCGGTTTTCTTTTACCCGTAGAGTCAAGCGCTACGCTTTTTTACTGTGCGTATACAGGGTGTCGTCCTAGAGATGTCTAATATGTAAATAATAACATTATGCAGAGACGATTAGAAACTGTATGTCGTGCGCGTGTGTGGTGGTTTTTTTTTTTTTTTAGATTCCTGGCGAAAGTACAGCCGAAAATTATGTGGGGGCACGCGTCGTCGTCCCTCCCTCCCCGACAAATATTCGGGTCCTTGAAAACCGAGGTCGACCTGATCCGACTTACTACTGTACGGGTTAATTTTCGATGGGGGAAATTTCACCTTTTCCACAACCCTCCGGCTCTACGGGGGGGGAGGCTTTGAAAATGGCCGCGCGTTTTGCGTCGGCGGGTTTCAGCTCCCGCAGAATATAAAAAGTCGGCGTCGTCGCGGGCACGGTAATTTCACCGCGCCACTGCGGCCACTTTATTAACAATAAATATTCGACGTTTCGGTATAAAAACTCGCGCGCCGTCGTCGTCGTCCAGAGGGGTCCCAGACGATACGCGCGCGCACACACACGCACACATAGACGCACACCGTCTCGTTTCGTTATTCGAATTAACACGAAATATCCGTAACGACAAACAGGTGCAGGATAGCCGCTGATAATATTATACGGAGCGAACGCGACACGGACGACGGCGACGGCAGCAGCACATACACATGTACACGACGACGACGAGGTGTATAGTTTCGACACATATTATATATACCTAATGTTATTTCTTTATTTTTATTCTTATTTATTTTTTTTTTCCGCCGCTTCTCTCTCTCTCTTTCCCGACCGTCCAACAATGGAACAATAGTGAACACGGTGCAGTGCGAGTGTGTGTGTGTGTGTGCGTGCGTGCGTGCGTGTGTACGAGTGTACAGACGAACGTTCGCTACCGCGGTCAGACACAGACACAGACACAGACAGACACACACACACACACACACACACACACACACACACACACACACACACCGTAATAATAATAATAATAACAACACGAAAAATAATAGTAACGACCGCCGCCGCCGCCGCCGATAGAGCAGCGAACGCGCCGAGGACGGGCCCCGAAGGAGACGGTGGAAAACGACCCGCGGGGAATGCGCGCGAGCTCGCGATAGATACGCGTACGCCTATGTAGAATATAAGGTAGTCGCACAGTCTATTTTTCTCGGATTTTTTTTTTCTTTTATCGTACGCTCTTTACACGTAAACAATACGCGCGCGCGTACGCACACGCACACACAAACACACACACACGCGCGCGTTATTATTGTATTATAATACGGCCGCTACCTAATAATAATAATAATAATAACGTACGCGTATATTATAATATGTACACCGGGCAGCGTGTCTCGGCCGTATACCGCGGGCCCGGGCAGACTGTAACGAAATTTCTGGCGCCTATACTTAACTCGCCGTGTACACGTCGCGCGCACGCACATAATGCGTACGTATTACACCCGTGCGTGTGCGCCGCGCGAAAGAAAGAAAATTCCGACGTTTCCACACTACGCGGCGCGCCGCGCCTCGCCGGTCACAATGGGTCGGCGATTATTACGCGCGTGTGTGCTCTCGCGGTTCGACGGGTGTATAAAAAATAAACGGGGGGGGGAGGGGGGAAATCGACAAAAAATAATCGTTCTACATAATAATAACGAACGGGCGCGAGCGGAAAAACGACAACGATATTACCGAGCGCCCGACGTTCGGAAAATCAAACAGAAATAAAAAAAAAAAACCTCGTCCCCGGGCACGGACCCAGTGCAGAGATCCGGGGGACGGGGGAGGGCCCGTCAATTTTTGTACAACTCAAATATAATATATTACATTGTCATAGATACATCCGTGATTGGAATATGGCAATGTATCTGCAAGATCTGTAGAATTGAAGAAATAATTTATCTTGGACGGTGCCTAGGGACCCAAGTCCACCCCCACTGGAACCGTCCCTGCACGCAACACACATATCTTAATACCCGACCTTTGAAATAGAATAAAGTATTTTATACGAGTACGAACCCGTAGCTATAGATCGATGAATTCTTCTGGGGGGGGGNGGGGGGGGGGGGGGGGACCGAGTTATAGGGGGTACGGTTGCATCAGAGAAAATCGCGGTTACAAAAAATTACCGTATGATCGTCACCATAACCGACCCGATAGTCTCTTGATAAAAAAAACTCGAACAAAGTGTCTCGGGGGCAAGTTAACGTCATAATACATTCACTGTGATTTGTGTTTAAATAATATCAAACTTAATAACGAAGAAAATATAATTTATCGCATTAAATACTGCGTGCATTTTTTTGGGATTTTAATGGAGTTTTCTTTCAAAGGTTGTCTTTGACGCTTTAACCTTTTTAGATCACGGTCCTAATAATAACATTTGTAATAATTGCGTTGTAATTTTTTATGGTCAAGCCGAAAGTTCAAAGTTTTATTCAAGCGTGCAAGCGCGTTTTCCAATTTATATACATACCAAACAAAGATCCGGGACGCTTCTCATTCAAAATTCTACGACCGAGGTAAGTACGACGGTGACGGTGACCGTTTACTGCTGCAGCAGGTGCAGTATATTATTTTAGGACACTGACGTTTAGATAATATTTTTTTTTTTCATATATAACCGGTTATTTTAACGCCAACACGGTATTTTAGAACTTCATTATTATTCTATTACGGGTAATTACTGTATTTTTTTTTTTCACTTTTACTTTTGTTTTCAAGTTTTTACTACCGTTTCCATACGCGCGTATAATATAATATCACCGTAGGTTTTTCGATTAACACACGTATTTTTTTTTTTCTATATAAATCGTAAATAATGTCATTTTCACTCTCGATATATTACTACAATTGTTTAGGATTTTAGGTTCCGAGCGCTAAGTCAGGAATTGTATTTGTTTTGATATACTATATGTAGTTAACAACTTTAACTTTACTAGAAATCTCGGTCCAATCAAAACCTTGGTAGGGATTTTCTGGTAAAACGTTTGATCCAATATTGGTTAATTGAAAAGGGGTAATAATTTTTCTTTTTTCCCAGTAGTTTTCTCGATAAATGGGAAATAAATGGCAATTTTTCATGGAATTTTTGTTGACTTATTGAACACTCCGCTCAGAATCGATAGTAAAATTAAATTTTTGCGTAGCATACGGTTATACATATCCCTTTTCTTTAACTTCCCTTTCCAAAAACACTCGACGCAACACCGCCCCCCCCCCTTTTTCGTTACCACAAATTCGCGTTGCATTTCGTATAATAACCGTCGCTGAAATAATCTATGTATTATTATTTTCCAATCGCGGTTTAACTTTTTTTGCAAGATCTTAACGATAGATTGTTTTTTTTTTTTTTTTTTTTTTTTTTTTTTTTTTATTATATTTACGCTGCGTAACGTCGTAATAATATTATGTATCGTGCGAGAGTGTATTTATACCGGCTGGAAAAACGTACGAATTCCCCGAGTCTTATAAATACACAACCAGACTACATAATATATGCATAATAATATTATTATACATGCATACCAATTGATACAGAGAGCATAATATACATTATATAGTTTGCCGATTTAACCGGTTTGCACGTATTATTATTATACGCGTATACGTAAAACGCTAAACTATTATTTTCGTTTTTTTTTTTTTTTTTTTTTACCATTATTAGCGTTGTATAGTGGCAGCGGACCTTGACACTCAACTCACAAAACCGGTTAACAGTTATTAATTTATTATAATAGTCATCATCATCGCGCGCGCGCAGGCAGACATACGCGAAATGCGTATTTAAATCCAATCGTTATGCTCGCGACTTTTGTGATTAAAACACGCGCTCTTGCCCGTTTTGTTTTTTATTTTTCGTTTCCCCCCCCCCTCCGATGGTATGATAATAATGTACACGCGCGTTCAAAATGTTCACAATAAGTACTTACGGTCCCCCGCGATTTTGTCTGTCCGACCGCGAAATATCCGCGGGTATATCATCGAATTTTCCGACGTCTGTACACACAATACCGGATTACCCATACGCGTATCCGTACACATTATTGGCGCCTCGGGGGTGTTTACTGTATTTCAGAGCGTCATTTCCATACGAGAACACGATTTTTGGTTTTTTTTTTTTTTTATTTTGTATAACGCACCGGAATTTCACGGCGCACTAACAATACACACACTGTGTTCTGAGCCCGGCCGAACCACGGTAACAAACCGTGATATCCGCGGCTTGATTAGGAGTCAGTCGGTTAGGGGTTGCACGTCGCGCCACTTAAAGATACGTCGACACTACGCGAGTGTCTGTCGTTCAGCAATTGTTGTGCGTTTTAAAAAACGAAAATGTCTGAATGCCGCCCGTTTGAAATTCCCATTTTATCGCGGGTCGGGTAAAACACAACTACGCGGACGAACGTTCTACACGATAGTTATTATTATTATTCGCTACGGCCTCCTTGCGGCCCCCCGGGTTGAAAACTCGTATTATCGACGGAGTTAATATTATTGGTGCGGTGGGATGGGGAGGGCAGAGAAATCTTATTGTGCCGCGCCTCGGAAAATTATTGACGGCGACGCGGTCCCCTGTAGGCGCCCGGATACAAAGCACGTCCCTGCCTCTTCTTCACCATCACCGCCACCATCACCGCCACCATCACCGCCACCATCACCACCACCACCACCAACCCCCCGCTTTAAATACGCGCCCGGTCCGTTACGCTACGCGTACACTCGAATACACGATAATAAATACATTATGATCCACGCAATAATACACGCGAATACGCTACGTTGCGGCAATAGACGCGGGCCGCGCGACGGACGACGGGCGCGTAACGATAATAATATTATTATATAAATCACACGGCGCGTTTATTGAGAACACCCCGAGTGTATTATACGCCACCCTCTCCTCAGCGCCGCCGCCGCCCCTCCTATCCCGCGCCGAAACGAGCCGCGGTTTCGTATACGATTGAAATATTGAAATATTATTATTACACGTACCCTATACGCGTATTATCCGTAGCGTGCCGAAATGAAACGCGCCGCTTCGCGAACCGCCCGCTCGGAAAGTCGCGGCGGCGGCGGCGGTAGTTGGCGCGGCACACAGGCAGTTGCGGGATATACGCGCGCGCGGTGTACCGGGGGGGCCTTTCGGACGGATGTCGGCGGCTCGAAGGGGTAGAAGGAGGAGGAGGAAGAGGAGGCGGCGGCGGCGGCGGCGGCCGGAACTTCATTTCCATAGTTGGGAAACTCGATTCAAAACTCATCAACGGAAATCTAGTTATGCGTGCAAAACGGGTAGCCGGCAAAGGGTTGTCGTGCGTGCCAAGGGTGTATACCCTATACATACGTATGTATATACACAAGGGTAAAGGCGAATATATTTTATGGAGCCAAACGCGGTGCACGGGAGTTTTGCGCCGGGTATAACCGGTAACCACGTTATGTACCCGGCCGTTTTCAGACAGGAAACAAACTTTGGAAATATATACATATATACGAGTACCTACGTACGTACGTACGGTTATAATGGAAACGGAGGGGATCGGTGGCGGCGAGCAGTCGTGGTAAAAGAGGGAAAACGCGTGTACAGGGGGAAAAAATTTAGGAAAAAAAAAAATAAAAATAAGTCCTTACAATCGATTTACGTTTCACCCCGATTTTTATTTTCAATCGTCCGAAACAATCATGCCGAAAGCCAAATCGTATTACGAAAATGTTCTCCTTCCGGCTTTTTCGCACTTTGCGCAACGTTTTATAATATACGAGTGATGGGCGCCCCCCGCAGTGGCGCGATAAGTGTACGTTATGATATAATATTTTGGTCTAAAACAACAAAAGAGCGATCCGCAAATAATTCGTAAAATGTATTTGTGTAACCCCCTCCCTCCCGTAAATTTGGCAAGACAATGGTGGTTATCGCATGGTTTTTATTCACACGTCCGTCCTACAAAAAAATTATAC